GAGGATGAGTGGGGGAGTGGAGGAGGGTGAGGGGGGAAGGAGAATGAGTGGGTTTAGATGTTATGTGTGCTTAGATTGCTGGGCTTGCACTCAAACAAAAGTTTTAGTGCTAACCCGACACTATTCGCTTACATATTCATCTGCTTATAACTGCGGCTCAGCTAAGCTCTTTGCCTAATTACTAAAAATTAATTTAATTATTAAAAATTAAATTAAGAATAAACTTTTATTGAAAGTTTTCAGAAGTAAAACTTGAATCAATGAAGGTCTTTAAGGTAAGAAAAACGTGGATGATTAAGCGTTTTAAAATCAACAACATTATAATGGAAAGTTTAATGTTGTGCAATTGTATTAAATAAAGTGACCATGGATAAAACGTGTGTAAAAATCATAGTAAACACTTTCTGGTTTATCTGCCCTTCCTCAATATTCTTAGGAAAACTCAACTTTGCTTCGTGGTAAGTTAGATAAAAAATTACAGAATTCAGAAATACATTTCACTGTAATAAAAAGATTTAATACAGAGATTATTCAACAAGCTGTATGAAAGTTCATTGAATTAAGATATAATGGAAGTCTCAATAAAATTGTGTTGCCACAAACCTTGCCCACATCTCGGGCTTTGTGCTGCTGTAGCTGCTGTAGCTTTGCTGTCCCTGCAGCCGACGATGTCACCGCAGCCCCGCTCGTATCCTGCAAAGTAGCACAATTACCTTCTTTGTTCACTTACATTTCATCAAGGCAATTACTTAACTTGTGCCTCATCAAGGCAATTACTTAATTTGTTTACTTATACCTCATGAAGGCAATTACCGTACATACTCATTATATACTTTTTTCGAGCAGGGCACACTCACCCAACCTCGGACCACAAGGTTGAAAAAGTTTCTATGTACCTAGCACATGTACTGTAGTACATTTGGCTAGTGAGATGAGGATAGAACGGATGAAACGTGAAAAATCATTTACTTCTTTTCGACTAAATGAAGAGCGTCAAATGATTAAAAAGTGCGAATGATTTTGGTTGGATCTGTTTGATGATTATATTATGATCCGCTAAATGAATTTATAAAGACTCGTCCTTTTTCACGAGCAGGTCACCCACGCACAAGTATTCAGAGAATTTGAACAAAGCCAACTTAGGCATCCACGTCCAAGCAACGAGTTGATGTAACCAAGAAAGCTATAATTATCGTGTACTCGGACACAATTCAGCTGCTGTTTGCTTGAGCTAATGCGATCCTTGACAAGTAAAATTCTAAAGGGAATTACCCGGTCAAGTTTAGTTAAAGCTTCCAGATCAAAGCACAGGCAACAGATTTCTTCTCGGTTGGATCAATATAGAATTAGGAATGATACTGATGTAAAGAGCGAGTTAATTAAGAATTGCTTCGTGGTACGATTTTTTTCAAGTCAACTTCGAAGTCAACGCTGCGTAATCGTTGTCAAAATCGTTCGTGCTTCATGCAGTCAAATAATTTCCGTAATCAAGACTATAAGTTAGTAGATTGTCCGTATCATGATTTAGGGAAAAGCCAATTGATTATATATATACATGTTCTTTGTATATCAGCAACAAGCAGGTACTTATACAATCTAACTCTCATGGTATAGCTGCAAAGACACGAGACTCGAACGCCCTGTGTTTTTTAATAATAAATAATTTACCTCCCCTTCCCCCGGCGAGGTCTCCTCATGAATGGTAGGCTCCGGGTACGAGATGGCGATATTATATTGGCCGTATTTTCGTACGCGTTTCCTACTCTTGTCAGCTGCCCCGTACGAGGAGTTATCGAGGCGGCCAATGGCTTTGGCGGCTGGGGAGGTCGCCTCTACTGGAGTGGACACGAAGAATCGGCCGACTGCGAACTTGCCGCCACCGCTAGACATTTTACTTCGGATGGTTCAAGGCAACTTATGGTATAGTTGAGTAAATTATTTACTGTTGAAACTAACGATGGCCACTGGTGGACAGACGCGCACAAGACTTTAATTGCCAGAATAAACGCGAGGTTGTGAATTTTATCGTTAATTAAGCCAACATTTGTCACTGAATGCTAGTAAAACATTGCAAAACATTCGTAGAGACCTCTGAAATTCATACTACATTCTAAAGGAAAAGTAAATGCAGGTTCCAGCAAACATCAATATTGATAGAAATTTTTAATTTCATAGCACACTAGTTATTCACTGGCACGCGATAACATTACTTGGTAGAATTCACGCCTATGTTGACAAGAATTTTACGTAATTCTTATATTTCGAAGCCAAAGAAAAAAACCGTTGCAGTGAACGCAACACGATCCTGGCGGAGAGCGGTCTCAAGTGGACGACCAAAACCAACACGTGTAATTAAGCGAGTTCCTTCACTTGAACTTTCTTAGTTCAAAGTTCATCAAGGCTATGAGTTTTTTCTTTCTTCCTCCTTTCTTGATATTTCTATCTTTCTGAACTCTTTACTTTGGTCGATTTTCGACGGCCACTCAAGTCTACCTAATATTTTTAACAGGGAATGAAAGCACACGGTATTGCATAGACTGGTACTGTAAAGCCTCGTTCACTAATAATATCAGGGTTCAATATATATTTCTTCTCACTAATAATATTAGGGCTTTGCATCGCCAAACAACATCATTAAATCATTATATACTTCACTTGTATTATAGTCAGCCTCTACTAGTGTCCTCAGCATTGCAGGGCCAGGAAAGTATTGTAGAATCATTATTTTTCCATAGCAATATTGTGAAGGTTTAGAAAAAACATTGTAGTAACAGTAACAGCGTCGTTGCCGTACTACAATAAATTATGCATATTCAAGTTTTCAACTCAACAATCCCTATATTTCTCTGTAAAGTGACGAAATAAAACATTAAAATGTTAAATTACTTAATTAAAGTAACAATAAACGCAGCATTCACACGATGCGCATTGTTGCGGCACTGAACGGAATAAGAAACTGCCGACACTTTCTTAAGAATCCTTGCTTCAATGTTCGTACGTATATTCACCATCAGTTGCGTTAGCAGCACAACTTATGGAAATGTCAGTAACCAAGTGATGGCAACACGACTGAGCTAGTTCCCAGCAGCTTAAGGTTAGCAGGCATGATTGATATTACTCCCCAGTGGCCACATGTTGACAACACGACTGATTAAGCTCCAGTTATCATGTATCAGCAACACAACTGATCTGAAGTCCCGGGTTAACAAATGTTAGCAACACGACTGAGAAAGTGACGGATTTTTTTTCAATAACGCCCGGTGGCGAAAGAGAGAAAGAGCGTCACTGATGCCCATGCAAAGCATGCTGCCAACACGTGAATCCGAAGCTTTATGACGCACAACCTATACGGTAAATTGCCAGCATTCCCTGATGAACTAAATGTTAATCGCGTAAACCTATTTTTTATAATAGGAACAATTCTATACTTTTCTCTATACAGCAATCGATTATTAGTTAACTCAGACCCTTTTCTACGGTGGAAGCGACACTCTCGTAATGGGTAACAAAGACACCAAACACTTCCTAGTTCAACTCGTCTTAATTATACTGTCACTCCTTGGCACACACTCAATTCACGATTTCTTATAGCGCATAGCCTTACAGTGACAGTGTGCATATGTAGAAAGGACCATCTGCAAACTCAATTGCTCGTGACTACATTAAGAAAAAAAGATTATCCCGGATTTAACCGTCTGCTCAAACTTTCACAAATTTTTATACTTTACTACGCACTATGAAATATATTATTATATTTGAATATAAATCGATGCTTCCGTAATGTTCAAGCACAAGCAAAAGTTCAATCTTTGGTGGACTGGCTATACGGTATATAGTTAAGTTTGAAAAGGCTGGAGTAAATAAATATTATAGCATCCAAGGCATCTAATTCTGGCAAACAATTCAACAAGAAAGTGTCAACAAAGGAAAGAAGATAAAGCCTTGATGATGTATAATAATTTTGATGGTAGATGCGCAGGAATTTTGAGATAAACTTGAATTTTCAGCCTGGGCAGCAGACACGCGGGTCTGCGCCGGACGCGTGCAGCTATAAATACATGAGCAAAGCTGTCGCTACCTGCACGCTGAGTCACAGCAGCAGCGTTAAATGATGAGCCGCACTGCAGCGATGCGCGGGGAACACTGCTGCTGCTGCAGCGATGCGCGAGGAACACTGCTGCTGCTGCTGCAGCGATGCGCGAGGAACACTGCTGCTGCTGCAGCGATGCGCGAGGAACACTGCCGCTGCAGCAGCGATGCGCGAGGAACACTGCTGCTACTGCAGCGGTATATGCGTCTCGCTACTCATGACCGAATTTTAACCTGCAGTTTACGCTGGAAAATATAACAGAATGTGCGCTGGTTTATCACCCACCGTAACATTTAGAACAATCTCGTGGCTGGAGAAGCGCACAATAAATCTTGCACATTCATTAATTTGAGCGGCGTTCGGTCATCACACGCACTAAAATATTCAAGGTTTGTCGGGCCATTGCAACACCAAATAATCCGTTAGTGCTAGTGAATTAGTTCCCAGAAATGCTCTTTTCTATTACATGAAGATATAAAAATATTGTATCTTGTCCATTGAATGCTGCATCCTCAGACCTGCATCTTAACATAAATTAGTGATTCACTCCACGTCAGTGGTCCTTCGATAGAGAATATTAGAATTTAAATCATTCTGAAGTTTCTTCGATTCCAGACAACACGTTCAACACAAACGTTTGCAGAACAAATTCAAAGTCAATCCACGCATTCAACACGAGTCGTATGGATTAATTTCAGTTATCGTCCAAATCAAAAGATTGCATAACAGAATTTCGTAAGAAATGCAGTACAGATTTGGAACGAACGAGTTAATCAATTCAAAATTAAAGCAGTGGCAGCACTGATATTCTGTGGCCATTCATCGGCCACTCAAAGCCCGCAGATAATGTTTCGTCCACGGATGATGCATGCATCGAGATTCATGTCACGTACAGGCATAATGCGTGCATGACGGACAACATGGGCATCGGTAATGAAGCCACACACTGCAATCTTTATGATGCAACACGAATTGCATAGGAATATCATCACAACCGAGTTCAACTAAATCTGCTTAAACTCGGATCGAAAATTTGATTTTCTTCCCGCATATAAAGCATACAAATTTCCCGTTAACTCCCTCGAAATAAGACATACCTATCGCATGGAATTAAAATTCCCCAGATAATTGGTGAAGTGGAATATTCACAATGAAAACCATTCAGTTGAACAACATTAGTATAATTCAATCCAGCGAGAACTTAAAATGGGTAAATAACAGAGATGCATTGGAGCAAATTTGTAAACATATCGAAAAAATTTACACATTTACAGATTCACGCATGAACAATTGATGAATTCGAATTCGAGTTATGGATCAAACCGCAGTTTATACTGAAGCTACCAACTCGACCTATATAAAAAAATCTCCAAAACGTTAACCGATCTGTTGACGCTCGATATTTTTTAATAGGAAAAAATGCAACTTAGGTTGCGTGTAACTAATGATCTCCGATAGAGTGAAATCGCGAGACACTATATATAAATTTACAATCGAACACCGTTCAAGGACCAATGATTAAGAGACAATATACAAGATAAAAGGATGACTATGTCGCTATCTGAGAACGCTTATCAGTGGCTATCACCATGCAACCTAGCCA